ATGAAGTACTTTAAAACGCTAGATCATGGATGAACCTTAAAAATCTTTATGCCAAGGGGTGGCTGGATGGCTTGGTTGGTTGAGCATCTGACTTTGGCTCAGGTCGTAATCTGGGTTCATGGGTTTGAGCCTCGCGTCAGGGTCTGTGCTATGGCTCAGAGCCCGGAGCCTGCTTCTGATTCTGCATCCCTTTCTCTCTTCCCCTCCCCTGCTTGTGCTCTGTCTCTGTCTCTCAAAAATAAATAAATGTTAAAAAAATTAAAAAAAAAAATCTTTATGCCAAGTGAAAGCAGTCACAAAAGACTGCACATTGTAAGGTCTCATTTATATAAAATATCCAGAACAGGCAAATCTATAGAGACAAGAGCAAATTAGTAGCTGGAAGAGATTGGGGGTAAGGAAGAATGGGGAACGAACAATGAATGTTAAGGGGTACAAACATGTTTCTTTAGCGAATGATGAAGAACTGTGGTGATGGCTGTGCTCTATATTTAAGAAAACCACTGAATTGTCTATTTCAAACAAAAGAACTTTATAGTATGTAAAAATTATACCTCAATACAACTGTTTTTAAAAGAGCACTTACTCCCTGATCGTAATACAAGTAACATAAAAAAACTTAGACTTTTTTTGGTGTTATCTCCATATAACCATAATTAGGGACAGACATGCTGGAGGTTGACAAGGATTTAACAGCATTTCTGTCAAAGCCTTTTTCCTGGATCAAAAAATCAAGTGGTGAGACTGGGGCACTAAATATGACATTCATTTTGGCATATCCTACATCTTGTTCTCAGAAAGATGTGCCAAGGGTTAGCAATATTGTCATATCTTATAAAATTAAGCTCTCCTGTGGGGAGGCTCACAGTGGTAGGTAGGAGGACAGTGGAAGACAACCCTACAAACTTTTGTCACTTCCTTAGCTTCTTCTGACCACTGAACATGTGATTTCTAAATTACAAATGAATTAATAAAGGAGTTGAAAAAGGATCCAACTGCTTATCTGGAACTCATATATTGCTGGTAGGAATCCCAAATGGTATAACCACTCTGGAAAACAGATTGGTAGTTTCTTTTTTCTTAAAAAAAATTGTTTTAATGTTTTATTTTATATTTGAGAGAGAGAGGGAGAGCAAGCACAAGCAGCGGAGGGGCAGAGATATGGAGATAGAATCTGAAGCAGACTCCAGACTGAGCTGTCAGCACAGAGCCTGATGCAGGGCTCGAACTCACAAGCAGTGAGATCATGACCTGAGCTGAAGTTGGACACTTAACCAATGGAGCCACCCAGGCACCCCTCTTTTTTTCCTTTTAAACTTTATTTATTTACTTTGAGAGAGAAAAGGGGGACAGAGAGAGAGAAGTGAGTGTGCACTCCAGCAGGGGAGGGGCAGAGAGAGAGGGAGAGAGAATTCTCTTGGGAATGAATTTGGGTCCCCTGCACTGAATCTTGGGATTCTCTCTCTCCCTTTCTCTCTGCCCATCCCCTGCTTGCTCTCCCTCTCTCTCTCTCTCAAAATAAAGAAAAACATTAAAAAATGTATCTATTCCCTCAAATGCTCTTCCAATTTCTTGTGACCCTCCTGATTTCAAAGAATTTCCACATAAGCTTTCACAGAGATTGCTACTGTGGGAAGTAAGTCCCGTATCAACCCACTTCCAAGGAACTCTTAGAAAGAAAACACAACAAAAAACCCCTGATAATGTCAGTTCTATAAAATATTACACAGAATTACGAGAAAACAGTCATACTAAAACTCGGAACAGTGGAAAGGAGAGGCACCAGTCAGTGTCTGACAGGAGGACACTCTCCCTTTGTGAAATGGCCCCTCAACTACCAACACCCATCACTGCTCCCCCATGCCCTCTTCTCACAAGTCTGCCCTACAGCAATCAAATAATAAGGAACAATTGGGGTGCCCGGCTGGCTCCATCAGAAGAGCACGAGACTCTAGATCTCAGGGCTGTGAGTTCAAGCCCCATGCTGGGTATAGAGATTACTTAATTAAATAAGTAAAACTTAAAAAAAAAGAAAGGAAGGAACGATGGAAGGAAGAAAGGAGCAACAATCTGTGAAATAGCACCCTACCAATTAAAGATGACTTTTGGTTAACACAAATGTTCTTTTAAAGGGTTAAATTTGTTCTAATTTCACCTAATTGAGCCACAGCAGACATGACTGTAAAGAACCTCAAAATTCTGAATACCATGCTAACTTGGAAGTATCGTGAATGGAACATTTATTTAGAGAAGAAAAAACAACACAGCATAGGGAGAATGTGGTAGCCTTAGGTTCACCTGCTGAACACCTCAGTGCAGGGGACCCAAATTCATACCTCAGCAAATTTATAAATTACTGCATAGTGCTGACCTTTGAGGTACCCCCCCCACTCAGAGGAAGCAAAACCAAATATAAATAAAACTACGTAAACAATTTACAGTGTACCACAGAGCAGGCACTTAAAATAAAGGTATCAAGGATATACCAGTTTTCATCAGGAAAACTTATATCTAATATGTGCAGAACCAGGATATGTGTGGGCAAAGTGAAAATTCTGGCAGCTGGGGTCCCCAGAGGGAATGTACAACCAAGTTTCCAAGAAACATCATTTATTTCTCAAGTCTGTAGTCAATGACAGGTTGACAGATGCTTGACCTTAACCCTGGCAAAGTGAGCTGAGATGCTGGCCACACTACAGCAAAGTACGTGCGTCTGTTTGACTGAAATCCACAGTGGCAGCCTGTGTGTTCAATTGTTTCAGAAGCCTACCTTCATAGAACCTTCCTTTCTGCCTTGCTATGACTGGCTAGGTCTCTGCACAGCAGACCTTGTTTCCTCATGTGTAACAAAGGGACACCTTGGAAGGCTCTTTGGGGATTGAATGGAAGAATATATCATAGTCAGGCACTGGGTCACTGCTGCTGAAAACTCTAGTAGAGGTGCTGTTTTCAAGTTCCTCCATATCAAACTGAGAATACTGCACACGACTTTGGGGGGAAAAACAATTCATTTTCCCAATTTAAGTCATTAAAGAAGAATAGTTATCAGGACAGGAAGAAAAGTGCCACAAAGTAGTTTATCTGAGGATACTTTTCAGATGAGCTCATCTTACCCACATCCATTGTGGACCAGACTTTTAGGTGGACAGAAACCAGGTAAGTCTGGGAAGGCAGATTTCCTCAGAAAAGTATTCCTCAGAAAATAACTGATTCTTCTGTCTCCTCTCCACCTTTTTTAAAGCATTTATTCATTTTTGAGGGAAAAAGAGACAAAGTGTACGTGAGGGAAATGCAGAGAGAGAGGGAGACCCAGAATCCAAAGCAGGCTGCAGGCTCTAGGCTCCGAGCTGTCAGCACAGAGCCCAACATAGGGCCCAAACCCACAAACTATGAGGTAATGACCTGAGCCAAAGTCAGACACTTAACCGACTGAGCCACCCAGGCACTCCAGTTTCTTTTTTTTTTTTTAATTAAGTAATCTATGTGCCCAACATGGGACGTGAACTCACAGCCCCGAGATCAAGAGTTGCGTGCTCTACCAACTGAGCCAGCCAGGTGCCCCCTGATTCTCCTGTTTAAAGGCCAGTTCAGTTGTTAAATGAAAGTGTAGTTCAACAGACACTAAATTTTGTGCTAAGATGTGAGTGAAAATATACCAATATACTGAAGACTCAATATAGCAATACTGAAGCCCCATTGAAAAGATATTTGGGGGTCGTAGTGCTAAAAACAGTCCCAAATAAAGCCCTAGGAACTGGGGGAGACATGTAAAAAGAACATTTCTCATCTTCAGAATTTTAACCTATATTGGACAGCCAAACCTTTAAGCCACAAAGGAAATCTCCAGCAGCAGGAAGCAGGGTAATAAACTGGGACAAGTGCCCTTTCTCATAAGGACGATTTGTGCTTCCTTTTCTGTCTGGGCTGCCAAGAAGCAGAGTAGTCAAATCTGATGTTTTATCACAGTAACAACATGTTCATATAATCAAACATACTTAATGTATTTTCTCTTTTTTTTTTGGTGGTTTTGATTACATTTTTAACCTTAATTGCATAATATATACACATAGTCCTCTCTAAAGTTACCCAAGATTACTTTCAGCTGGGGACTGGGGAGAAGAATTTTGGCTCAGTACTCTGTGTCTCAGCTTCCTCCTCAATTAGTCAATCTAATCACTTTTAATCAATCAATCAAACTAAAAGTGGTATCTCAGATGCCTATATCTATTCATTGTTTTGAGGAGCAAAACAATATTGGAAATAAGTTGCTTTGACAATTCTCAAGGTGGCCTGGAGTGAACCCTTTCTCCCATCCCTGCCTAGGCGAAGAACAGAATGCACTCCACAGCGCTGAACTGGGCAGGGTCAATTCCTCCCCATCCATGTTAACCCTTCCGAGGAGGCAGTTCAGTTTTATAAAATCAAATAAAAGATTTCACATCAGCAATTAAGGTTCAACCCCCCATCAATAAGGACTCATTAAAAAAAAGTGCGAGGCAAACTGCTGTCAAAACGAAGGCACCGCTTTGGGTGGCTGGCTGGCTCATACAGTAGAGCATGTGACTCTGTCTCTGTTGCAAGTCCCACACTGGGGGCAGAGTTTACTTAAACAAACAAACAGGGGCACCTGGGTGGCTCAGCTGGTTAAGTGTCCAACTCTTGATTTCGGATCAAGTCATGATCTCGGCTCAAGTCATGATCTCATGGTTTGTGGGATCGAGCCCCGCTTCATCAAACCTGCTTGGGATTCTCTCTTTCACCCTCCCCCATTCACGCATGTTTCTCTCAAAATAAACAAACATTAAAAACAAACAAACCCCCCAAAACCTAAGACATTGCTAGGTGTCTTCAAGTATGTCCATGGGTAATATCAAGAATTTCTACAGTTAAGTCCATCTTGCAAGCCAGGGACTTGCATTCCCAATGCACAACAGAAAATGTGAACTAAAACAGTGTGTGTAATAAGTGGAAAAAGGAAAAGAGTGGAGAGAGATAAATACCTTTGTTCCTCAAACAGTCTTCAGGGAGCCCTGTGCATAAATGTTCTTTGCTTGACTGCATCAGGAGGTCTTCCTGCAGGAAGAAAATCCAGTGGTCAGGGAGGATTCAGAGATGCCTGAACTCATGAATGCAAATTACCATCTGAGAAATTTCTTTATGATTCCTGGAAATCTGCTAGCAGTCACAAAGATTGGCAACTAAAAGAAACCTCAAGTTTAAAGAAATAAAATCAAGGGGCGTCTGGGTGGCTCAGACTTCAGCTCAGGTCATGATCTCACACTCCGTGAGTTTGAGCCCCACGTCAGTCTCTGTGCTGACAGCTCAGAGCCTGGAGCCTGTTTCAGATTCTGTGTCTCCCTCTCTCTCTGACCCTCCCCCGTTCATGCTGTCTCTCCCTGTCTCAAAAATAAATAAATGTTAAAAAAAAAAAAGAGCAAGATTTAAAGAAATAAAATCAATAAAAACTTCCACTTTTGGGAGCACCTGCGAGGTTCAGTCAGTTAAGCGTCTGACTCTTGATTATGGTTCAGGTCATGATCTCACCATGGTGAGATTGAACCCCGCATCGTGCTCCACTCTGAGTGTGGAGCTTGCTCCCCATCTGCCCCTCTCCCCCATTCACACTCTAAAATGATAAATAAATAATCATCATCAACAACAACAACAACAGAAACCTTCCACTTCTCTAGAATTTGAGCTCGAAACAGCAAGTTTCCTAAGGTCTGGACAATAATAGAGGCTTATTAATATGTTGACCTGCAGGTCCAAACAAAACCCCATTAATACCTTCTGAATCAAGAAACAAATTGCTGCAACATAATTTTAATTTCATCTGAAAGGAAAATAGCAACAAATTGGATGTATGTCAGTCCTTAACCATTCTAAAGATCATGTACTCATTTTCTTTCCAAACTTCTTAAAAGGGCTATTTTTTCTTTTCATCCCCCTTCATTTAAGGGAGAACATCCAAAAGAGGACACCATCACTGATAACCAGTTTTCTCTTACAGAAGGAATTCAGGAAAACGGGAGGGGGTAGTGGCAGAAAGTGCAGGTTGCGACAGCAAATGGCCTCAAGGCCTATGAGGTAAGGGTTGACCAGCTAGGAGACACTGACAGACCTAAGATGGCTGTTACACTAAGCTCTCCTGAGTCACCTCTTTTCCCCTGCCTTAAGATTAAATTTTTTTCACGCTGATTTAATTGGTAAGTACAAGATACTGACATGCTATGTATCTAAATCTACAGACACTGGTATTATTACTACTTCTCATCATTTTTTTTTTTTTCAACGTTTATTTATTTTTGGGACAGAGAGAGACAGAGCATGAATGGGGGAGGGGCAGAGAGAGAGGGAGACACAGAATCGGAAACAGGCTCCAGGCTCTGAGCCATCCGCCCAGAGCCCGACGCGGGGCTTGAACTCACGGACCGCGAAATCGTGACCTGGCTGAGGTCGGACGCTTAACCGACTGCGCCACCCAGGCGCCCCAACTTCTCATCATTTTTACAGCACTTCAAACCAACCCAAAGCAAGCAAAAGCCATTTGGAGCCTGAGCAAAGTTCCATGGTGGAAACAGAACCCAGGACTGAGAGGAAAGATAAAAGCAATGGTAAGCACAGGTAGATACAGGAAGAAATAAAACATTATCATTGCAACTGAGAGCATAGACTATTATAATGTGAAGCTGGACTATTCTTTCATTTCCTTAGTGTGGAATACTTTTGCAAAGCATGAACTTAAAAACAAGTATCTCCCAGATAACTTATGGTAACACTACCATGTTTGACAAAGAAGTATGAGTTCTAGCATGATGTCAGACCCAACTTATTTGTAAAAGAGAACGGAAAGCAATTACTTACCACAGAAGGAATGATGGAATTAGAAAATCACCACTGGGCGACCATCATAGTAATAATTACCTCAACCAAGAATCATCAATGGCTGTTAAAACTAGTGGCTAAAAGTTTGAATGAGAAACAAATATTTACACAGTTTCAAAATATCTCCCCACAAGATAGTTAATCTCCCCACAAGATAGTTTCCATTGGGGAAAATAGTAAATTCACAGTGGAGAAACCTGGCAGACCCCACTTGAACAAAGTGATGGACTTCATCTACCCAGGAATGAAGCACCCCAAAGCCATGTGCCTCCTGAGAGGATATACCAAGAAGAACCAGCATCACTTCTGTGGGAATCCTGCTGCCAAAATGCAAAATCAGAATCTAATCATGAGGAAACACCACACAAGCCTAAATTAAGGGAAATTCTACAAAATAAATGGCCCGTACTCTTCAAAAGTGTCAAGGTTAGGTTGAAAAACTGTTACATATTATAGGAGATTTGAGACATGACAATTGAATGTAACAAGTTCTAAGGATTTTTCCTAGACCAAAAAAACCATTTTCTTTTCTTTTGCTATATCAGTGCAACAATTGGTCAAATCTGAATATGGTTTGTAGATTAAATAAAAGTACTTGGATCAGTGTTAACTGCTTGATTTTGATCACCATACTGTGGTCACATAACAGAATGTCTTTGTTTGCTAAGGAAATACACAGTGAAGTATTTAGGCATCATATCTGCAACTATGCTATCAAAGTACTCAGAATAAAAAAAGCAAATGTGGTAAAATGTTAACATGTGAGGAATCTGCATGAAGGGTATATGGGAATTCTGTGTATTATCTGCAACTTTTCTGTAAGTCTCAAATTATTTCACAATAAGAGGTTAAGGAAATATCTTTATTTGTAGTTATATTTGATCCTTTTTCCAAAATGACACTTCTCCTGGCTCTTCCAGTTCTCAGGCTGAATGTTTTGGTGTGACATTAGATGTATTTAGAATATTTTTTCAGGCTAATACCTTATGGAAAAGACAGAGTGCTGGAGTAAAATATTACGGGATGAGGAATCAGATAAGGCTCTGTTCCAACTTCAGGACTCCTACAGACTAGCTATATAGTACTAAGTACAAGCAAAGGTGGCTTTAAGAATAAATGGGGGCCATATAACACCTAGTAAGACATCCCGTCAGGACTGGATGCTCCAAGAACAGAAGCACTGATCATCTGTTTAGACCTTAGACACTTGTTATCCCTTTCTGTGGGAAAAGCCAAATAGGACTATCACCAATAGATCCTAGTATATGTCATGTGGAGTGACTAAGCTTTTCTGGGCCTAAAAGGACCTCTGCAAAGTGAGAGCTGAGCTCAGGTCAGCAATGTACAGGTTCCATACAGTTCCCTCAGATTGAACTGTGATGAGTTTGTACAACTAACCCTATCAGCTAATCCAGCTCCTGGAGCGGCTGCTGGGATTTTAGTTTTGCTCCACCTGCTGCTCTAAGGTTCTTAGCTGGAGGACCCAAAATACCCTGGTGGAGTGCCAAGCCAACTGCTTCAGCCATGTCCCTTTCTTCTTGGTTAGTTACAACTTATAATAGGGAAGGAGAGAAGCGGAAGCTAAGAGTAGGTAATTTCCTTTTTCCTCTGCCTTGCTGACTTCTTTTAAAAAATTCTGAGTTAAGAACCCTCAGATGGTTGGAGACCCTATAAAGTCTCAAATATGATCAGAGATTGACTAGGTTGACAAAGAAAACAGAGTGTGAAGCTGAGGTCAGAAGTGAGAGACGCCTCCTAACCACCACCAACACAGTGGTGGGTGATCTCCATATTAGGTGGGAACTCTACCAAGTCTGGGCCTCAAGTGTGGATAAGAGGAACAGAGCAGCCCACCTGCAAGCAGTGGACATAATGATCCTGTGACTCCCCCGTGCCCTCAAGGTCAGCTAATAATATAATAAACACTTGTAGAAATTTATCAATTTTTTTCCTATAATATTTTACCTGCTAAATATTTGAACTTTCAGGATTTCTAGATGTAGAGTCCTAAACATTTTCTCTTCCACCTAAATTCTGCAAAATCTATTTTGAATGAATCAACTTCCAAGATGAAAGTTTACATGGATCCTTCTTTCAACATCAAGTGAAATAACCACTATAGTTTATAACACGTTATTAACTGTATAAAATAAGAAATGCCACAGGACAGTACAAAGTCATTTTCCAAACTGCCAGCAAACAAATTCTCTGCCTTGCACATCCAACAGGTCATCCTTCTACCCACTGCTTGGAATCAAAACCAACTTCTGCTACTTCCAAGTTTTGGCAGATTTTAGAAAGGTCTTGAAAAACCATTCTTACTATTCATCTGTAATCTTATTTCCCATTAAAAGTTTTATGTCCTAGAAAAGATGCAATTCTCTGATTCATTCCTGTAAGACTCGTTTACTTAGTGTAAGAAACACAAATGTCTAAAGGAAGAAAACAAATATACATCAGACTCTTCAGCTTTTCTAAACAGGGTAGTTACAAGCTCCTCAGGGCCTGATTTATCTCTGAGCTGTGAGCCCTGCTTGTAACCGAACTCTGCTGAGCTTCTCTAAACTTGAGCTTCCTGAGCTGGAGGCAGAAGCAGATGAATAAGGAAGGGCAGTGACTGCCCCATCTTCAGATGGGACTGCCCATACACTGAACTGTGCAATGATGGGGGCAACAGTATAGAGCAAAGGAGATACTTCCTACCACCTGGCATTTGTGGAAACAGCCATGATTAAGTTCATACTGAAGAACGCTCTGAAAATAAAAGAAACTTTTATATCTCTAGATAGATCTTTCCCTTTCCTACCCTTGCATATTTAGAAAGGAACAGCTGTGGAACAGTAATTTTAAAACATCTTTACAGAGCTTAAAAAAGGAATTTTCCAGGGTGCCTGTGTGGCTCAGTCAGTTAAACATCTGACTTCAGCTCAGGTCATGATCTCATGGTTTGTGAGTTCGAGCCCCGCATCAGGCTCTGTGCTAACAGCTCAGAGCCTGGAGCCTGCTTTGCTTCTGTGTCTCCCTTTCTCTCTCTGCCCCTCCTCCAATTGTGCTCTCTCTTTCTCTCTCAAAAATATTTATTTCCTAAAGTTTTCATGGATCCTTCTTTCAATATCAAGTGAAATAACCACTATAGTTTATAACACGTTATTAACTGCATAAAGTAAGAAATGTGATTTCTTTCTCAA